AGATATATAGTTGCATTCTCTTAATGAATAGAATGATTTGTTCTAATGGTGTTTGTAAATAGGATCACAAGTCCACTTCTTGTACAGCAATTAACCACTAAGAAGAATATATGCAGTGTATTATTTGTTGAAACTATACTTCTGATTGGATTTGAAACTGTCTCATTGCTATCTGTTTATCAATAAAACTTTGAAAAAAAAAAAGAAAATTAGCATTTAAAAAAACCGCCATGCTTTATTTTTTTATTGCCTAAGTATATTGGCTGTCATTTCCAGAATTAATTTAAATCATATAAAGAGCACTCTTGTCATAATTCTCTTTTTCTTGAGACAAGGTCTTGCTGCGTAGCCAAGGCTGGCTTCTAACTTGTGCAATTCTCTTGCGTCAGCCTCCTGAGTGCTGGGATCATAGGCATGCGGTACTATCCCCAGCCTTCTTGTTACAAACTTTGATTTGTCACCAGATGTGATTTTTATTTTGAGAAAATCATATTAGGGGAGACTTCATAAATATTAAATTTTTCTAAATTTTATTCTTTTCAAATTTTTTAATCTTTTATTTATTTGGTACATGGTCTTGCTATACCGCTTGGGCTCATAGTGTTCCTCTTCTCTCAGCCTCTCCAGTGCTGGGATCATAGGCACGCGCACCACACCCGGTTTTGCTGGCCAGCTCAGCATGGGTCCTGCACAGCATGCAGTACCAGGGATCGAACCTGGGTCCTTGCACTTTCCAGTCAGGCACTTTGACCGCTGAGCTATCTCCCCAGCCCCAATATTTCTAAATTTAAAAGTCAGTAAAAGATGCTAAATTTCACCCTACTCCTTTGTCCATGAACTTATGTTCTTTTTTTTCTTTTTGGTGGTACCAGGAATTGAACTCCCGACCTTGCACTTGCCCTGCAAGCACTTATTGCACTGAGCTATCTCTCCGGCCCATGAACTTATTGTGTTCTTGATACTGAGACTCTTTATACATTAAATAACTTACGGTACTAGGAGGATATGAACCAAGATTTGGCTGGGTCTCCACGGAGCTGTGTGTGAAGACTTTCTTTTATTTAAAGTATGGTTTAGACTTCTGATTGGGTTTTCATTTGGCTGTGCTAATTCTTTTAGGTAATTTTGGAGCTTACTAAACAACAGAAAGAAGAAGCAGCACTCCTGGTGTTCAGTGTCACTCAGCTAGGCACCGAGGCCACAGCAAGAACGTTCGACCTCACTGTGGTGTCTTACTTAAAGAAGATCAGTTTGGATTACCATGAAGTTCAAGGTAATGCTCCTAAAAGCAGAAACGATAAAAGCACCTTAGAGTATCTAGAACAGTTATTTCTGTGATATCTGTTATACATAATGGCAAGCATTGTTTAAAATACTTTATAAAGAATAATTCATTTAATTCTTATAACAATAAAGTGTAATTAGTTCTAGTTTTATGTAACTAAGGTATAGATTGCTTATAAAATTGGCCTGTGGTCAAACAACCAGGAATGAATTCTTAGAAGCCTGACCATGGGGCTGGAACTCTTGGCTACTCTGATTGTTTGCCTCAGCGTTTGTATAAATCTCCTTGACAAACGCAGACAGATGAAGAAGGGGCAGATGAAAATTAAGTAGCTTCCTTTCTATCCTGTCTTCATGAGCGGCAAGACTGGACACTGTCTCTGGTCCTGCAGAGACGTGGAAGGTCCTGTTTTTCTTTTTGAGACAGGGTCTTACTGTGTGGTCGGGCTAGGCTTGAACTCACTTATGTAGAGCCCAGGCTGGCTACACACTTAGGGTGATCCTCCTGCCTCAGCCTCTCGAGGGCCAGGAGGACAGGTATGTGCCGCCACAGCTGGCAGGTCCTGTTCTTTTTATGAAAGTGTTCACATGTCGTTGGAAGGCCAAGTTAAAAAATAAAAATAGGAAGCTAGAAAATTAATACTCTTAGAAGCTCTTATAGTTTATTCATTTCAGTATCCTGAGATCTGAGACATGAAGGAATGAATTAATGGACAGTGGTTAAAATTCTCTAATGTTCTAGTCAAATATAAAGGCCTATGTTTTATAATGTCAGAGTATTTGAAACTATAACAGTTCATAAAAGAAGTGTTTTGTACAGAAAGATGTTTACTATGTAGATGATAAGTTTTTTGAGCTATTTTGTCTCCAGTGAAGACTGACTGAGGTCAGGGACACATCTCGAGTGTGTCACTGCGAAGTGCAGTAGTGAGCTGGGCGGCCGGCGGCGGCTCCTCCGGCTATACGCTGCTGGAAGCTGCTCCTGGCCTCTTTGCGTGAGCGTGGAGTGCACGCTTGTGTTCACGCCCAAAAGGAAGCGTCGCTGCTCCCTTCTGTGAAAAGCCTTTGTGTGACAGTTGCCTCTCGGTCTACACAAAGTTCTTTATAATGTAAATAAATGAATTTTTCATAGAATTTAGAGTACAAAGGATCCGGTCTAATCCGCTTGCTACACTGTTAAGAAACAGATAGCTTTTGGGGAGGATAGAGGTTAACTGGAGTGGGCGTTGCCTGGTTCTGACTCCTGCAGTCTGTTCTCTGCCCTCTTGATGGACACACGGTCTTAAAGATCTCTAAGATGGCTTAGGGGACTGGCAAGGTAGCTCCGTGCCCTAACGCGCCTCCTTAGGCAAGCTTAGGCAGGTACAGGGGACTGTAGTTCAGTCCCCAGCACCACATGCTGCACCAGCCCCACCCCCAGGGCAAGCTGAGCTGGCAAAAAAGGGGAAGATGTTTAGATTGTTGTTGAACACAGATGTGAAATCAACTGAAAATAAATATGTTTTAAAGTAAGTTAGATGCCTAAGGTAAGAACTTAGATTGGCTTACTTATCTGTGGTGGGTTTAGTATTTAATAACCATGAAAATATGCACAAACATTCTTTGTTTTTTTTTCTTTCACAGTTTTATTGATAAACATAGCAATGAGATAGTTTCAAATCAAATCGAAAGTACAGTTTCAACAAATAATACACTGCATTTATTCTTCTTAGTGGTTAATTGCTGTACAAGATGCGAACTTGTGATCCTCTTTACAAACACCATTAGAACAAATCATTCTATTCATTAAGAGAATGCAACTATATATCTATCCCAACCACTTTGAATACACAGATACAAAATGGACATTC